GGAGAGCCAAATTAGGGCAATATAGCTAGAGAAAATGAACAAGCCGTTGTAGTCCAGCTGCAGGCGAGGAAGAGTTGTTGATTAGGACGCCTAGTTGGAAGTTCCGATAGCTCCGGTCCTAGTCGATTGTTGTAGTATAGCGCGATAATCACGAACCAAAGACCTAGCCAAGACCAATTGATATAACGACAGGTTAAAAAGACTTCTTAACAAAGGAGTGACTGCACCACCAGGACATAGGAGGGGTATCAACATCAACTGAACTCTTTAACGTTCACCGCCGACTTACCCTCGTCACCGCCTGGCAAAAAAGAACAAGAGTATCAAACCCCCACATTATCCTACTCATGTTGAAGATATCAAGATGAGTTCTATTGAACGCATGTCCCCGTTGGACCTGCTTGACCTTAATCTCACCAATCTTGACCCTCTTACCGAGAATTATGATCTCGGCTTCTACCTGAACTACCTGAACAAATGGCCCTCATTGTTCAGCACCGTGAAGGACCATGAGGCCGGCATTGTAGGTTATAGTATGTTCAATTCCTTAGCACATTCACCTCAAATCTCATAGTTATATATATATCTAACATGCTCCTTTAGTCATGGGCAAGCTTGAAGAGCAGCACCCTGCAATGCGCCACTCCGAGCACTACACTCCATGGCACGGACACATCACCGTCCTGACCGTCGCCCCAGCCTGGCGCCGTCTCGGATTTGCACGCAGATTGACCGAGCAGCTCGAGCGGGGATCAGACAGTAACAATGCCTGGTTTGTTGATCTCTACGTCCGCGCCGGAAATAAAGTTGCATACGACATGTACAAAGGAATGGGGTACGTGAATCGATATAGATGTGCAAGCGCCCTATTGATTACTGACCTATATCTTTTCAGATACTCTGTCTTCCGGCGGGTGGTTAATTATTACAGCGATGATCCATCTGGGATGTCGGAGACTGGCGAAGATGCGTTCGATATGCGCAAGCCATGTAGTCGAGATAAGAAGCTCGAACATGTGCGAGAAAATGGTGAGAATTTCCCTGTTGGACCGGAGGATGTGATGTAAACCATCCTTCTTTTTGTAGTATTTATTGAAGCAGCCTGGATGGCATTTTTTTTATCTCTCGCGCCTTATTTCTTTCTCGATGGGCTCTCTTGGCATGGAGGGCTTATGCAGGCTGGGGTTTGTATGGATATTTTCTTGCACAGAATTGAACATATGATTATTATTTCTTGTATCGCCATTTTCCGTCTATATCTAACATGAAGTGTGCCGTGTCCCTGGATAAAAGCAAAATGAGTTGCCAGGAGATAATGCAATATGCAGAATGGGGGCCAAATGATGAAGCTAATGGGATATTTTGTCCTAACATTTTGATGTCAAGAAATAGCTTGAACAAGGCCGAACCCTCCGCAACGGGTATATTTTGTAAGACATTTCAGCAGCCAGCTGAAACTCAAACCTTGGCATGGAACTTAGGACCTGAGCGTAGAAATCTCACACACATCATAAGACCCGCAGCGGTGGTGAGACAACAAGCGGTGAAAAGCTGAACTCCGAGGAATTGGTTTGTATCGGAAAGAATTGCACCTCCGATGGGAGTACCGATCAGCAGGCCTATGGAAGTGATAGCAAAGACCATGCCCAAGCGTGTGCCCAGGTTGCGCACGTCCGGGGTCATACTCGCCATGACCACAGGCGGCAGAGACACAAACCCACCCGAGAAGAAGCCATAGAAGACGGCAAGGATGATGATGCCAGGTAGGGTGTGAACACGGATCCAGACGAAGGCCAGGATGGCAGTGATGGTCACTGCGGGCGTGAGCATATTCAAAGGGCCAACGTGGTCGGCGAGGAAGTTGGGCGCAATACGACCGAAGGTCGAGGCGGCGTTTAGCATGGAGAGTAGATAGAATCCTAGGTTTGAGTCTACAATGCCTGTCTCTATTGCGTATGACTGCACATAGAAAAGGAAGTTGTAGAAACCCAAGAAACCCATGAACATGGCAATAGCGAAGATAGTAAAAGCCGGCTCCTTTAGGGCGGACAACTGGTAGAGCTTGCGCTTCTCCTTTGGCTGGAAGCGGGAGCGCATGATGCTAATAGAAATGCAAATGGTGCCGAAGCAGACGAACCCAAGTGCTCGAGTAGCCCAGGCAAAACCGACCTTCTTCTCCAACTGATCGAACATGATTGGATAGACAACACCACCGATACTGCTGCCACTAGCAGCCAGACCGTTGGCCAGGCCTCTCTTACGGCGGAAGTACTGTGGGAGGATGGCAACGGAGGGCACGAAAAGACAACCTGCTGCGAGTCCGATGCAAATGCCCTGGCAAAGAATCAGCTGCCAGTACTCCGTGGCAAGACTGGTCATCATCAGACCAAAGGGCAGCAGGAATGCAGCGAAGATGATGAGGGATCGAAAATAGCCAGCGTCAAACATTGGACCTGTAATGACTCCAATCATCATCAGGAGGAAAGACTGCAGCGATCCAATCCAGGCAATGGCCGATGATGAAGTACCGACGAGCAACTCTCGCTCATAATAGGTTTGATATGCACCCCATGTATTGATAACGCCCCTATTTCAAGTCGTTAGCAATATGATCGTTATATTGGAGAACATATACTTACCATGAATTGAAAAAGAGAAAGAATGAGCCCAAAACTTGGAGCCATGCCTGTAGCCCCGTATCGTATGTCAACTCGGGCTCTTTCTCTGGAGAATGTGACATATTGGAGTCGGCATTTTCCTCACGAGTGTCCGAAGAATCAGCGAGGACTTTTTGCTCTATATCTGAGTCAGACCCCATATTTCATGTATCGGTTAACTATATGTCCCTGACGGGTGAGGGTTTGTACAGCGCAGGATGCAGTCAAGTCAAAAAAGGTCTTGCCCGATAATGCAAATCTTCTTATAAGTCAAGATGATGGAAATAAAAGTTTTAAGGGCATTTTCCAGTTGCTTATAAACCCCCAAACTAAGCGGGGCTCGGGAATTCGGCCGTTCGAGAGATTGTAGTATAAGATACGTTGATATAATCAAATAATCGGACTATTTCTAGAATAGGATACGAAGTTAGTATATTTTAACTTGAATATGTCATATATATCCCTAAATTTGCCGAAATAACATAGTTTAGCCTTTGTTTAATCCTTGATTCAAATATCAAATGCCTATTGACGGCAAATTAGTTGCCCAGCAGATGCCGAAACTGGCCTAGTCACTGGGCACTAGTGAGACCCATAAGATATGCTACTCAGATGCAACATGAATAACCGAATATCGTAAACATCCTTAAGTGGATGATCCTAGTAAAGTTGCGTTAGTCTTTGCATTCGAGATGGAACTCTCTATAATTTCCGATAACTTCTGAGGATTCTTTAAGTGGAGAGCTAAAATTGCCCCCACTGGATAGATACCAAGCTTTGCTCATTTACGGGGGCTTTTTTTTTGGAATATTACATTTGTTAGAAGCGTTTGAATCTCCATGAAGAGCAAGTAAGTCGGAGGACTATCTGCTTCCTAGGGCCTTAGATTGGGTAGGTATGCCTATAATGCAGGACATGGAAGTGTGCATATGACTTGTGTACTCTAGATATCTTAGTCAACTGCATTTACATCGAAATCTTGGCTTGCATTACACGTAAAACGATAAACAAAAAGAAAGGAAAGATATGAAGCATAGAAAAATTCCGAAAGACCATTGAAATCGCGATAGTTCTCACGTGGCTTACGCTATAATTGCTTCTTCTACTCCATACCTAGATACAGGTTAAAGTAAGCATGTGCAGAAAGATAAAGAGGTCAAATTATTTTTGGATATGTTTTTTTTCCGTTCTAGATTCATGTACAAAGCCTCACTGGTGTCCATGTTTCATCAAGGACATCCAAGTCTCTTTTTTCGACGGATTCTTCGAATCCCAGAACTCCAAACGCTATGCTGAAACCCAAAGAAAAGCAAAAGACGAAAAACAGCCCGTGTGGAGAACGGTAGCAACCGTTCTGACCACTACAACAGCTCCTCGCAAGTCCAATCCTCATACCTAAGTCGAACATTGTTAGCTCTGGCTCGTCACTCATGTTTTGATAGAATCTTGCTTACCATCCATCAGGCAGGTATCGGCGAATGATCAGGGGAATCTTCTTCTGGTTCAATTCCTTCATGGCGATCTGTAGGGGATCGGTCTCACCCTCGAGGTCGACAAGTACCGGGGCATTCATACTATGTCAAATGTCAGCAAACCCAAGATAACGCGCAATCGTCTGTATCAGCAAGAACGTACCTGATTTGCAGGGCACGGGTACCGAGAACACGCGCGCGCTCGTACTTGGTCAAGTACGGGGTGGTGGTGCGCTGGTCATTGGGCACTTTCTTCTCGCGCGACTGCTCCATCACTTTTCCTGCGTATCCAGCATTGGGATCACCAGAGACAACGACATTTTCGCCATTGGTGGTGGGGTAATCATCTCCCTCAACCCCGTCTTCGCCCTCGAGGCCCTCTTGTTCCTCCGGCTCCTCGTCAAACACATCCTCACCGGGCTCGTAGTCGAAGCTGCGCACACCACATTGTTAGAAAATGGGTTTAGACAAGTATATGTGAACACATTGTGAAGCTGCCTGGAGGTGAAATGGAGGCAAAGCTCCTTTTGCGCCTGGACCCCGGGCAATCTGGTGAAGGGAGGTAGCTTACGTCTCTTCGACGTCGTCGTCGTGGCCGTAGTCAGACATAATGACAGTTAAACCTGTAGAAGGAGCGAAGTATTTGTAGGCCGAAGCGAGCGATGAAAGACCAGAGGTATGAGAGACAACTCGGGGGTCGAGGTGGGATTTGATGCTAAAAATCTTGGGAGCGGAAAAACTTCCTCTGTGTTGGCCGTCACCGCCTTTCTGGCAAAAATAAAATTATTGGTTTGACATTCACGTCCGATCTTCCTCGTGCCTTGAGATACTTTTCTTTCCTGAATTGTCCTTTTTAGGGCTTCTTCTCATAATGGCCATGAAACGTAAGGCCTCATCGGAGGGGCTCACTACCCCTAAGCGACACCAGAAGCAGAATGTCCTGGACAATTCCGGTAAGTTCACTTCAGATAATATCCGATAAAGTGATCCAATTGCTGACGATCCTCCAGACCTGATTTACGAGGAGACTCACTCCGATGATGAGTACTCGGCTCCGGGTACTCCGAGTGTAATGAGTGAAGACATGGACGGCTCTCCCGCGACCCCATTCTCGGCCACCTCTTCCCGACAGAGGTACCCATCTGAGCTCAAAACCCTATCTTGCACGTTCGAGGGATGCGATAAGGCCTATAATCGTCCGGCTCGACTCCAGGAACATATTCGATCACACAACAACGAAAGACTCTTCAGGTGTGAGTTTGAGGACTGCGACAAGACATTCTTACGCACTACCCATCTTCAACACCATGTCAAGAGTGCCCATACAGGTGTTCGAGACTATGTTTGCGACTATCCAGATTGTGGGAAGAGCTTTGTGAACGGTTCGCGGCTTCGCCGGCACGTCGCTACGCACGATGGACATGACAAGTACCGTTGTACCGAGTATCCACCTTGCGACGAGACATTCCGGAAGCATTCGACTCTACAGAAACATATCACAGTTGTCCACTTGGGTCAGAAGCCATTCCCATGTACCTACGTGGATCCAAACACCAACGAGAAATGCAAGATGGCTTTTGACAAGGCTGGTAATCTACGCACCCACCAGAGCCGGGTCCATTCCGAGAAGCGATTCACTTGCGCAGAATGTGCCGAAAAGATGGAAGCCAAATCATCAGATATGGGCGACGACAATGCAAGCCAAGATGTATCATTCCCCTCGTATGCCAGTTTACAAAACCACATTCGGATCGTTCACCCTCCCCAATGCCCCGAGTGTCCATTGGTCTGTTCCACAGCACGGGGACTGCGGCGCCACCTCGAGATCGCCCATGGCAACGTGACCCTTGAAGAACGAAAGACATTCCCCTGCACGGTCCCCGACTGCGGTCGCAGCTTCACCAAGCAAGGCAACTTGACTGTCCATGTCCGCACATTTCACCAAGGCGAAAAACGGTTCGGCTGCGGCGAAACAGATTTCTCAGCCTCCAAGAAATTAGAGGGATGGGACGGCGTCGGTTGCGGTAAGCGCTATGGCAACAAGTTGACACTCGAAGATCACATCCGCACCGCACACATGGGACTCCCGAATGCCAGGAAACGTCGTCAAGCAAAGATGAGCAAAAAACCAGCGCATGATTCCGTTTCTACTCTTTCTGCCCTCACAGGCCAAGGCTATGCCGAGGAAACAGGACGACAGATCGCTTGCTTCTACCACGAGTCATGCCCACATCGTTTCCATCGCAACTACGATTTGTGGGTACACATGACCACCAAACATACCTGCACCGAAGACGAGGTGCAGAACCTTTTCATGCAGCGCGCTTTGCTTACTGATGAATCCGGTCCTGGAGGAACCTCAAACTCACTTGGTATCTACGGTCTTGGATATGACCGGGACAGTCAATCGTACTACCACCAATCCTACATGGCAGGAGACCACTCCTCGGATATTGCTTTCGGTTCACAGTCGAACGATTCGTCCTATCTCCCTACCCAGCCGGGCTTGGATTCTGATTATTTGATGCAAGACGATTTTCCAGCGAGTGCAGCCGGCGATATTGATTCTATGATACCCAGCCACAATCAGATGGCCCTGGTTAACCCTGTTGATGCTTACCATGCGATGGAACAGTAGATGAGGGTATTTCTACGATGTTATGATTATCTAGCGTTCTTGTTGCGTATGTATGTATCCATGGACTTCTTAAAAGTCCCTATCTACATCCTGTTCGCTTGGGTATGTACGTTTAGCTTGTCAAATTTAATCCACAAATGGTCAGCTTCTTAATGAATTCAAATGAATACCGATCACCTATCTATATTTTTAGCCACCATAGCACCTGCCCTGTAGACTAGGGTCTCCGCGTCTTATTATAACTAGGTTATTCCTCCTAGAAAAACCTGACCCCCAGTGGTTGAAAATATTGCATGAGATAGTGGATTTGAATTGGCTGTATGGGATATCTTAAACTACCAAATACTGCATGCTGTGTCGGTGTCTGTATTCATTGAAATATTCTGGGATGTTACTCAGGGATTGCTGAAGTTTAGCCACTTCCTCGAATGGACCAAAGAACAGTAAAGAATATGCGCAAATGATCCAGGGAGAGTGTTCGCTTTCCAACCAGGAAATTATGAAGCTATAGTATCTGGTAAATCATTTAGGTTGAAGCCGATCACGAAATGTGAGACTTCTCCTCGCATAACATCGAGTTTATCGCCCTGCTCAGCCCTCCAACGCAGGAATCTTGACATTTGCTCTTCGGATACAAGCTCGGGGGGCGATATCTGTGCATAGCTCTGATCAACATCCAATGCATCAAGAAGATGTGTTAGGTTTTTAGCATTTCTAGCTTGGGTTGCACGTTGTGGAACTGTGTCTATGGGCATCTTGGTCAATGCTCGTGGGTTGGATAGGATGTAGAGATCCCAAGGCTGTTGCTCCCGGGCTGGGTACTTCTAGAAATGATTTTGAGGGTCAGAGAGAGAGAAAGTGTAGCGGTTGACTGCGCAGAGGGAGATATCCGCTTGAGAGGTCGATGCCGGCGTCAACCAGGAGATCAGAGGGAAGTGAGGGAGAGATAGAGGAGCGTGGTTCTTTTTGTATGGTCCTAGAAACAGACAAACAAACAAGTAACATTGGAATACATTACATATTTATACATAGAGAGCCTCATGGATATCTAGATTTGATATAAACCCCAGGTCGGAGATAAAGGACAAAAAAGGAAAAGGAGAACAAGCTTATTTCCAAAACAGGCATAGACGGTGATATTAACGGAACCCCACAGGTATAACCTTGAAATTTGTATTGGGAGAGGGAAATGGAAATGAATTGCATTTTTAGATCCCTGCCACATGGCTGATCTACATTTTTTTTAGGGTATGACGCGTTGGGATCTTCATGGGGCCATGCTGATCCTATGCTGCAACAACTCGATCCATTTGATCTATGCCAAGACTGCGACCGGCTATATAATCGGTACGGAGGTACGGAGTTATCCTCCGTACTCCGTACCGAGATGTTCATACTAGCCACATTAAGTGCAAAATATCCTTGGAATACCATTGGGTTCGGTTATCTGAGCAAAGATTGTGGGCGGAGTGCCCTGATGCAGGAGTGAAAAGGCCCGTGTGTGCTCATGAACTCCCAGGTCCCGGCGGGGTCAAAACAGGGAACAGCATGACTGCCTAAATTGTACGGAGTAGGTACCATGAAGTACAACATAGGTACAAAGTTAGGATTAAATAATACGTGTCAAAACAGGGTTCCCCAGTCAAGGAAAAAATTACGCGTGTTCAAGCGCCGATTATCTGTGGGCCCGTCGAAAGGCAACGTGTGAGAGTGTGAGAGTCTCATTCAAGTGGCAATAGAACTGCAGAATGCCAAGTTGAGTTACTTCCGACTGTCCATGTTTGGTTTAAACCCCATTTTTAGATCCAGTGGCGGATCTTGGCCGGGATTGTTATAGAATTAAGGGGGGATTGAAAAAAAAAAAGGAGATATAGGGGAATAATAACATAGTTTATATGTACTTTCCGTAGTTATTTCCAACATAAGACATTCAGCTATATTTACCCATATAATGCATACTAGTCTACTTATAGTTCGGGTTGTCTCTCCACCGATGATCCAAGACGGGTCCATGAAAAGGAAAAAATAAAAAAACTCAGCCTTTGTTGAGGTAAAGGAAAACAAATGAAGAGGAAATTGGCTTGGCTTCGGCTCTTTTAAGTATCACAAGAGATATAACATATTATATATTATTGCAATTGGTGTAGCGTGGAATGACGGGTGTTTAGTCGCCTCCGGACTTGCCAAATGACCCACGGTACTCTCTCTCTCTCTTTCTATCTCTCTTCTATCTCTCCAAGCCTATTATTCCTTATTTCAATCCCCTCTCTCTCTTCTTCTGTCTTTTGTCAAAATAATAAGTTAATCCTGGTGATTAGCGAAGGTGCTTCCAAGCTTGTAACGTCATCTTCCTTGGCAGAGAAGCTCGATTTCCCTAAACTCCGCCCAACCGCTCGTTTCTCTTCATTCTTATTCTTCCAGGTTCGCCTTTGTGCGGATTTTATGGATTGATCCTTTTCAATTCCCAGGCGCAGTCGCTATTTGACAGTCTCTCGTTCAGCGCAATCGACCTGCCTCGGACAGTTTCCTTTTAAATCCCACCACGCCCCAGTCTCTCTCCTTACTTTCACGACGTTGCACAGTCTAACCTAGTGAGGGGTAATACTTCAAAGTCTACTGAGGTTCTTGTCCGGTGGCACTATCACGTTCCGGCGTCATGGGTCGTTCGCGTGGTAAGTCGATCCTTTGCGGGAATGCCGGGTATGGAACTAGAGCCCGTTATTGACTCTCCCTTGCGTCTTACTAGTCCGCTCGTTTATATCCAGCCTTGGGGGATCGAAGAACAATGGTTCTAGTAAAGAACGCAGAAAATCGTCGGGCAACGTTACGCCAGTGGCCAACGCAACTCTGTCCGATACACCACCCCGGTGGCAAACCACTCCCCCCGATACACCATCTCCCCCGACCGGATTATCCCCCGTGAGCTCTGGGCCAAGAGGTGGAACTGGGTCACGACCGGCATCCATGATCGTCTCACGCAACCCGCCTCTCATGCAGCAGGCGGGCGATACCCCACCGGAGCTGTCGCCAATATTTTCATTCCTCAATATTCACACAAACAAGGTCTATAATGAAGGATACTTTCTAAAATTGAATGATCTAGATTCTCGTAAGTGAATCTTACCCCCTGCCACCTTGCGGGGAAAGGCGGGCTAACACGTGGCAGACGGACGGCCTTGCGGTGATCGGCAATGGGTGGAATGCTACGCACAACTAGTCGGAACTGTTCTTTCACTATGGGATGGCGCTGCGCTGGACGCAGCAGGTGGTCAAGAGGTTCCGGCGACCTTTATCAATTTGGCCGATGCGTCTATCAAGATGGTAAGCCTTGACCTCCCAGAATTATCAGACTTGAACTTATCAGTTACTTGCAGCTTGAGACTCTTCCGATCCAAAATGGAGCTATAGCACCTTTGAAAAACGTACTCAGCGTTTCTTCCGCGGGCAAGAATCGATACCTCTTACATTTCAATTCTTTCAACTCACTGACCCAATGGACTGCGGCAATTCGTCTCTCGATGTTCGAACACACATCTTTGTACGAAGCTTACACCGGTTCATTGATTGCAGCGAAAGGAAGAACTCTCAACGGAATCAACACCATTCTGGCCCCTACCAAATTCAAGTACGAAGATTGGGCGCGTGTGCGATTTGGAGCAGGAACCCCGTGGAGACGGTGCTGGTTTGTGATCTGCCCGCCAGACGAAAAAGAGCTCCAAAAAGCGCGGAAATTGTTGAAGAAATCGGCATATGACCGCTTGTCAATTCCTGTTACCGGAAACATCAAGTTTTACGAGACGAAAAAGACGAAAAAGGCGGTTCCCATTGCAACGGTTACCCAGGTTTACTCGGCATATGCGATTTATCCACAATCCAAGGCTCTAATTGATGCATCCACCCTGGTGAAGTTGGAAGGACGGATTACCACACATTCGCCTGATTCTTCCTCGGAGGGGCTTGTCTTTATCATGCCTGAGCCGCATGCTGCGGTTTCTGGATTCGAGATGATGCTGCGCTTCCTTTTCCCGACATTCGACACTTTCAATCTCTATGGCCGTCCTACTCGCCTGGTGGCAGACACTAATCACATTAGGAGCATCATGTTTGCCTTCCCCAAGGAGCGACGCTACGGCTATCTTGATGTGCTGGATATTGCCAGTCTTCTTCAAACCCCTGGAAGCCAAGAATGGAGCGAAGCTCAATGGAGAAAACAGCTCAAAGAGGCAACACAGCGTCGAATTTCATCCGGCAGGAGCAGAACTAATAGTGTCAACAGCGTAAGACCTCGCTATCGCTCGATGTCTGGCCGAAACAGCGATGTCCCTATGGACTCTACTCGTCGCCAGTTTGCTGGTTTCGAGAACAAATCTGAATTCAGCAATTCTACTGAGGCGATTATTCATGAAGTCCCGCAAAGCGAGGGCTCACCCGTTGTGTATCATAACCGCGGGCTTTCTGATACCACGGCCTTCAACGCTGGCTCTCGGCTAGGCCAAGGACCTTTAGTTGAGAGCTCACCTGACTCGTCTTCTCAAGATCTGATGCACCGTGGTGTTCCAGCGGTCGCTCCTGTCGCTGAGAGTACCAGCTCCGGAAGCGACCCAAATCTCGGCCATTTCCATGGCCCGCCAGTCGAAGATCAGCTCCCTCCACGCACCCCACCGGCTCCTGTTGCAAACCCACCCGAGTTTTCGCATGGACCCAAAGAGATGCCCACTAACCGGCCAGAGCCTTCTTCGGAACAGAGGTTGGCAAACAACCGGATGTCACACGCAACACTTTCCCAACTCACATCGGTCGGAACGATGGGACTGAGCGCGGCAGCTGCCGGAGCTGCATGGAAGAGCCACCAGGCACAGACCACGAACAACCAACAGCCCCAGGACAGGAGCTTGAACAATGTCTACAGTCCGGAGCCTGTTGCATCCACCAACTCTCTTGCAACTTCATCAAGTGACGAAGGCCTCGGTCTTGCATTCCCACTCCGACCTCCCCCAGTT